AACCACAATTCTTTTGGCTATAAAATGCCGGACCTTATAAAATGATTAAATTTGGGTGGGGCATATACTCTGAATTATCTTTTGACTTTTAAGTCAATGTTATAGAAATACAGGTAGTATAACTTCAGGATGGTTCCAAAAAGATACATATAAACATGTCACATAATCTGTTTTCATAAAAAGGGTACCAGAATGACTGTCAGGAGCTGTGTAGCTGTGTCATAAATTAAGTGTTTCTGGACCAATCACTTAACTTTTTGGATTGCCATTTTTCTCAGCTGAAAAATAACTTGGATTTGAGGATATCTGAAGTTTTCTTCCACAGTCTGTAATGTATAGATTTTGTAGTAAATTCAAGTGCTATGGTAGGATATATTGTTGTTAAGAATATGATATTGTTAAGAGCACAATGAATTATGCCATGAGCTACAAACACTAAATTCAAAACGACGTGGGATGGATTTTCAACACAGACAGCTCTGTGTTCTCTTAGCAGATATGTAGCAATACCTGGTATGATAAAATCTGTGAGAGTGCTAGGTGCTTTCAGGTTGATGTAGCAGCCAATCTGAACACTGGATTACTTGTGAAGAAAAACCTACTTGAATATACTGTTTTTCATCTTTAAATCATCAGGGTCTAACAAAGTTCCTTACATATATTAACTGCTTTTTAATTAGGTTATCATTTGCTGAAACATCCTTCTATAGTTTTAGAAAAATAGCCTTTGGCTGGTATTGTGTAATACTTAAGGCAGTTCTATATTTTATTTTCTGTGTCTAACATGTTTTTGCTTTGGTACTGTTAGCTTTTTTTTTTAACCTCTGTAGAAAAGGCATTGAGAAGACTAATTTTTTGCTTCACACTCAATGTTGCTTAAGATCTATATTACTCTCTGAAAGCCCCCACCCCAGTTTTGGTGAAACTGGAATGACTTTCTACTATTGCATAGAATCCTGTGTTGTTGGTGGTATATTTTCTGGACAATGAGTTCTAATTCTGGACATGGCTGTATTATTCCAGTGCAATGCGACAACACTTGTATGCATCAACCCAGTCAACCAAGAGAAAATATCATAATGATCAGAATTATAGGACCAAGGGGGAAAAAAAGGTAAAGGATAACATTATACATTGAAGAAAACTTGAAAATCAAATTATCAAAGAAATATCATCTATGATATTTACTTAGTTTACAAGTCTTCAAATATTCTTTAGTCAATTTGTCTGACTCCTGTGACCCCATTTGTGGCTTTTCTTGGCAAAGATACTGGCGTGCCTTGCCATTTCCTTCTCCAGTTCATTTTACAAATGAGGAAACTGAGGCAGCCAGTGTTAAGTGACTTGCTCAGGGTCACACAACTAATAAGTGTCTGAGGTTGGATTTGGACTCAGATCTTCTTTTCTACAGGCCTGAAACTCTATCCACTATACCACCTAGCTGCCTTTTTTGTCATTTTAGAAATGATAAATGTTATAATATCAATATAAAACCCTAAAAATCATATTATTGTATTTATGATCTCTCTTGGGGTGAGACAAAGCAAGGTAGGGTAAAAGAAAATGCAATCACATTTAAAATATCACTCATTCCCTATAGTTTCTAGAAAATAATATCTGGTTTAAATATCAAAGTGTTATCTTGTGAAATTATAATTATTTTAACATTGGCAAAAGCAATAAGAAAGTATGTGATAATCTTTATGTCCTTTTTAAGCAATTCTTCTTTAAAACTTTTATTTTTTCTTTAATTTTCTAGCCGTTGATTTTCTATTTCTGAATTCTTACATGAAACAATTATTCAATAATTGTTCATGCCTAGTCACTAATATTTAATGCATTAAGACTAATGTTAATGACATAGATTTTTTTTCGATTTGGGAAAAGTGGTTAAGCTTCTATTTTATATAGCAGGATGGCACACAACATATTTAATTGTTAGTCTTTCCTTATTTTGTTTGACAGTTTGAAGAACATTATTTTATATTTCATTGCTTTTACTCCCATAGAATCTTGTCTATACTGAATTGAACTAATAATAATTACATCAGATGAAGAAGTTTCTCAACCTGCCTAAATTTTGAATTTATACTTTAATGAACAAGCCTAGGTATTAGCATATTTTACAGTTATGATCTTATTTGTATCTATTTTGTGAAAAACAATCCTATGTTAGTGCTAGATAATCCTGTAAGTTGTAAATCTTGTAATTTTTCTAAAACAACAATTGAGAATCAGTTCTTGGTAGGAAACATAATTGATATATATATTACAATAATGACTAAAATAAAGTGAAGATGTCTGTTTAGGCCACAGCCTACTTTTTGGTTATTAAAACCCATAAAAGTGCAAACAAAATGAAATTTAGTACCTGTTTTTAACAGTCCCAGTTCAATTTTAGCCAGAATACTATCATATATTCTGGTTTTATCCTACATTCCCTCAAAGCTGGGCTATAATCTTTTGATTTATGTGAATGTGTGTTTGCAGTTATACTGAAATGTTTATAATTAATAGCCTAAATTCTGCCTCGTAAATCATCATAGATTTCATCATCATCTCAGCAAATCGTGAAATACTTGTACGTTAAACATTGTTGCTTTGCTTTTATAATAGTCACGTGGTTTCAATTTATTTCCTGTTTCAATTAGACATGATTCTTTAAAATTAAGTGTATATTTTATTTATCATTGTGAAATTAGAACTACTAAATAGGTAATTTAATACTAAATATGTAATCCTTTACAATTTTGTACAAACATTTTTCTTCTCATCACAAAAATTATATTTAGCATTTATATAGCCCTATTGCTTTAAAGAACTTATTGGTTATTGATGAGAATTTTTGTGTTTCTATACTATATTTACTTGTTAATTCATATTCGAATAGACTCTTTTTTCATTTTCATACTTTAAGCATCTTGATGGGTACAAAGGTAATTTTTTTATTTGAAGTTTATTTAGTAAATCACATAGGGAGTAGGAAATGCCATTCTTGTTATTGAAACAAATATCTTTTCTCCTTCAATGGCAAAATTAGATTATCTTTTAAACAAAGTAAATAGCATTATGGTTCATTATGAACATCTGTATTTATTCAGGTGAAACAAAAATAATTTTTCATTTCAGTGCTTGCTATTAAGTATTCCTTCAAAGCGTTTATTTCATACCATTTTTCTAAGGAATCATTGTTTCAAATAAATTAGATTCTCCCCTCTGTGCTCTATCTGAAATACTTCTCAATGCAGATATGTGCAAAATACAAACATACAAGATATATAGGGAAGTTGTTGCTGACCTATACAGTACCTTCATTATAATAGGTCATATTTTAGCTCCTGTATTTTTGACAAATAGCCTCACTCTTAAAAAGCTCTGTCCGTCGTGCTGAAATCTTTCATGATATATGAGCATGTCTCACTGATAAATTCTAATGTCAGCCAATGTACGATGGTGATTCATCAGGTTGTAAAATGTGTGTTCAAGAAACACATTGAATTTGTAAGGTTCAAATTCAGAATGTTTTAAAATTAACACTCCTTTTCCTCTTTTTTATTGAAGGAGTTATCAATTACCTCCCAAATAATTAGAAATAATTAAGGTTTAATTAGAGACTGTGATTCTATCAATAATTCAATTCAGCTTAATTTAATAAATATTAAATATGTATAAGTCATTGTGTCAGAACCTGGGAAGTAAGGAAGACAAATGTCTACTAATGACAGATAAAATTATAGAAGTTCTATTCTGTAAATATTTATGGGCCAATGGTGTTTTGACAGTATGCAATAGTTTGCAGTTATAAATGTTAAACAATTGATTGTGAGTAGGCATAGCAATAATTAACACAAAAGACTTGTAACTTTGCACAGATAATCTCTTGGTTCACACCACTTGTATTTTTATTATATCAGAAATCTTTTTTCATCATTCTAGTCCATGTTAAGTATATGGGGAAGGTGTACATATTTTTTGATACATAAAAAAGTCTAAAAGAAGCTATTTTTTCTTAAAGCTGAATTGAGTGTTCCATATAAATGATCAACAATTAACCCAGATTTTAAAATTTTATTTAATAGCTATCAAAGTCCCCCCATTATACCTTTTCCATATTACTCTAATCACAGAAATACTTAGGTAACATTAATAACTATTATAATCTAAACTAGCCTTTTTGGTATTACTTAAGTTTTTTGTCCAAATTATTTAAATTTTGGACATAGGAATAGTTTTATTCAATCTGTACTTCTTTTAGCTATGATTATATTTAAAAGCAAGTATTTTGGAATAAGAAATGTCTACTACATATCAGATATGTTTTAAAATATAACCTTGTTTTTTTTAACATCAGAGAGTTGGGAATTATTCCTTCATGTTATATTTGAAAACATCAAATAACTAAACTAATTGTGCATTCTTATGAGCTTTAACCATATTATGTGGTTAGGATCATGATAGCAAGGGGGAAATAGTTTTGAGGAAAAAAATATATTTGGAAAATATCTTGTTAAAATTTGGCAGAATTTACTATAAAGCAAAAACCCCTCAAATAGAAATGCAACTAAAGATTAAATATTTTCTTTAATTCAAGTATTGAATCAGAATCACTGTCTGAGCCCAGTAATTAAATCTAGTCTTCAAGCTGCTGTTAGGGGAAAGGGATAAAGAAAAACAACTCTGAGACAGTATTCTAAATGCATAAATTCCTCATGGGTATTTTTGTCTATATTCAAAGTATAAAACACTGTGTTGTTATTTTTTGATATCATAGAAGCATAAAATGATTTAACAAATATATTTTTGTGCATGAAGTGTAATTAAATAGCCCATTAAAAGTTTTTACCCTCAGAATTCAGAACTCCACTATAATGGAATGGTGGGTTGTTATTTTTTTTAATCCGCCGTTAAAATGATTATTTTTGTCAGATAGTATCTCTCAGAAATTGTTTTTATTTAGAAACAAAACAAGACAAAAGCAATTGATTTTAATCCAAAATGTATTTTTCCTCATAAAAAAGTTTCACATACTCACTGTGTCTACTCTACATAATTTGTCCATTTTGCTATACCACGTGCCAATTCAAGTTTATCTGGTCACTGCAAAAACTCGTGGCTAATATGTGTAATGCAACACAGGAGGAGGTATTGCTCAGTTCAACTACTCTTACATACTTAAAAAAAATACAGAAAATGTTCTTGAGCTGTATTCCAGACAGAAAAGTCAAATGAAAGGTCTAGAAAATGAAGTTGTTTTATTTGGTTGCCACAGTACCCTTTGAAGCCAGTTAATTAAAATACTTTTTTTTTTAATGCTGAACTCATACATGTTTCCATTGTCAGCAGCAGCACTGATGAAGTCTAGACTTCTTTCTAAAGAATAATATTTTTGTCCCATTTATTTAGCACAACTATAGTCTTGTGGTTTTCTTCATAGAAAGTAAGTTTTTTTTTTTAACCACTATTCTTAAGACATATTTGTTGGCACACCTATGACAGTTGCTTTTACTTCAAGTGCTGTGCTCTTCTCTTTTCTTGCATCCCAAAGGCTGATTAGAGGAGGATAAAGCTCACTAAATGCAAACGTTGGCTTCTGTAGGTAATTCCGTACATAGCTGTGTCCAGTATCACAGTTCATCTCCTGAGAGATGCAGCTGAAAAGACATATCACACTGATTACCCCCAGAAGACCTCCTATGCAGGCAATGAATGCTGTTATGTTATTCTTTTCATAACCTTTCAGGTCAAGATCCAGTCCTTTTGTGGTGACATTAATACATTGTTTTTTATTTTGCTGGTAGATAGTGGGGATATCAATACAAATTTTATATTCAGTTGATGGATTCAGATGTGTGAGATTATATACCTTGACATCAGATGGTATTCGAGCACTTTGGGCAGCATGAGAATTTTCAGTTTTAACAAAAGCAGTCCATTTAACACTAGATTTAAGAATTTTAGAATTTGCTTTCCAAGATACCAGAACTGAATTAGACTGAACATCTTTTATCTTAATATTCAAAGAGCCATTATTATCCTGGGGAAAAGAACCATCAACTTTGATCATAATTGACTTTAAGTCAGCACCAACCAGGTTAGTTGCTATGCAAGTGTATAAACCACCTTCCTTTGGAGTTATGTCACTTATGTCTAATGTACCTTCAGAATGGACATAAAATTTGTCAGAAAGAGTATTAGGCAAGAGTTTGTGGCCTGATGGTGTTATCCAGTAGATTTCAGGCTCTGGCTCTGCTGTAGCTCTACAGTGTAATGAGACATAGCTCCCAGCTTCTAAATCCAGATTAGAAGGAAAACTTTCAGGGGCAATCAGAGGGAGACAAATTTCCATCATTTCCCTGAAATGTACTTGTCGAACATTCTGACCCTGAAATTCAGGAGGGTCCACACAAAGTAGTGAATCAGGCTCCATCAATCGAATGTTGGTTTTGTTCATATTGATCCAGCGAATAACACAGTCACACCTGATGGGATTGCTGTGTATGCTGATTTCTTTGAGGTTAGGCAGGGACTCAATGGTTCCATGGTATAGGGCACTGAGGGCATTACTGTTGAGCATGAGTGATTCAAGTTTGGGAAGTCTGTAGAATGCATTTGGATGTATGTATGATAATCTAGGGTTGTTAGTAGCTTCTATTTTTCTTAGATCTGGTAAATTATCAATAGCAAGGCTATCTATAGAAATCAATTCAGGCATATTATTTATTCCCAACTCTTTTAGATGTAACATGTTGCTGAAATCTCCTCTTCGTATTCTATTAATAGGATTCTTATTTAGATCCAAAAATTTGAGGTTAATTACCTTTTGAAGAGCCTCGTGGGGCACTTTAACAAATCTGTTATCATAAAATGAGATGCTTTCTAAATTGTCCAGGCCAACCAGTGCATTATCTGGTATTTCAGTGAGATTTATGCTAGCTATAACCAGACTGCGCAGATTGATAAGTGGCTTAAAGTTCATATCTTTGATTCTGATGATTGGATTTTCTCCTATCATGAGAATCTCCAGATTTGGAATAGCTTCAAACCACTTACTGTTGATCATCTGCAATCTATTTGAATTGAGATGAAGTCGGAGAAGATTATGTAGACCAATAAAGGCTCCTGGTGAAATGGTAGAAAGGAAGTTATGATTAATATAGAGTTCTTGTAAATTATTCAGCCTGGACAGACATTTTTCTGGCAGCTCAGTAAGTTTATTTTCCTCCAGATATATGGAAAGAAGCTGAGGCATCTTTCTTACATTAATATTGGTGACTGAGGATAAGTTGTTTTGTGATAAGTCCAGACCAGTAAGGTTCACTGGAAAGTCTACCGAGTTTTCAATTTTTGCAATATTGTTGGTCTGCAGCAGTAGGATCTGTGTGTCAGCAGGCAATCTGTCCGGGAAATTAAAAAGACCTAAATCATTACAATCCACCGTAAGAGCCTCCATATAAATGGATCTGGGTGTAAACCAAGGTCTTATTTCGCATGTACATGATGGTGGACAATCCACTTTTTTATCTATAGCTTGTACCAATGCAGTGAGAGCTAGGCCAAGTAGCACCTGAATTTTGAGTGGCATGTCCTTCATCTTAGCTCTCAGTCTTCAGAAATACAATGGACTTTTAAACATTCCACAGTGGCTGCTGTTAAGTTCAATAAGATCTGATTGATAAAGAAAATGCTTGCATTTGTCAAATGATAAACACCAAAGAAATATAATGTTTGTCTTCCTGGAAAAAAGTGTCAAAGCTGCAAATGCATTGTCCAAAAATCCCATGCATATTGGAGAACAGAAGGTCACTATTGCCTTGATGAGATAAAATTGATAAACTTTGTGAAGATGGAATATGTATAGATGGTCATTGGAGACTAAGCAATTCATTTATTTAGGAGTAATAATTTCATATCCCATGCTTGATTAGTGTCTGCAACAATGGCAGCATGACCTACAATTTAAGCAAAGGAAACAATTAGTATAAAAAGGCATAGCAGACTTTTAATTAACTTAGGCACCATTGAAAAGCTCATTTTTTTAAATGATTGTTTTTCCCAAGCTTGACATTGATGCTTTGTAGCTCTTGATATCATCTTTTCCCCTTTACAACTCATATACTCCTTGGTTTTTACTGCTTTTACTGGACTTTTCTATTCTGTATTCTAGAGGCAAAATAATAGAAAAGGAAGTCTTAAACTTGATGTCAGCAGATGACTTGGAATCTCAGCATTAACAATTACTGCCCCAAGGACTATGGAAAAGTCATTCACTTCTCTGAGCCTCAGTTTCCTCATTTATAGACATAATAATAATACTTGTACTGCCGACCTTGCAAGGTTATTTATTGTGGAGGAAAACAAAAATAAACTTTAAATAATTTATAATTGAATATGGAAATAGGAGATATTATTATTATTTTATTTGTATGAATGTCTTATATGTTAGTAGACCCAATCACTACTTCTAGAAGGTAGACAATATAAAGAAAAAAATAATTTATTCTTCTACCATTCTCAGGCATTATCTCATAAAATCAGGAGTTTTTTGCACGTAGTGTATATTTATTACTGGAGAGGCAGAGTGCCATAATGGATAAAGGATCAGTCTAGAAGTCTGGAAGACATGGGTTCAAGTCATGGCACTGACATATATTCCCCATACTACCTGTGTGACCATAGGCAACTCATTTCAACTCTCACTAACTCAAGCAAATCTCTGTGATTATAAATTACAAATATTTCTCTACTGGTGAAGTGAATTTACACACTAGAATTCTCTGCCCAGATAAAATCAGAAGTCCAAGCCTACATATATATGTGTGTGGACAAGTGTGCATACACATATTTTTGCATATATATTTATGCAATACACACATCTCTATCTATCTAGTATCTATCTATATGAGAGATACACATGCTCAAAACATTGACTGAATGTTTGTTAAATGAATAAACATGGGGTTATACATATTTAACTTCAGGAGTTCAAAGATACCAACTATTCTAAAATTCCTAGTACTGATTTTTTTTGTTGCATGTGCTCTTTAAAACTCCCTTCAGTAAATATGCTTTTATCCTTTAAGAACATAGCCATGAAAGAAAAAAAAATGCTTTCTATTTTTATTATGTACACATTTTATTTATCCTTTACAGAGAAACTGACATTCTTGCTCTTTATTGCACACAGACTTCCTGTCTCATGTTACTGTGCTTCTGCTGTACTCCATACCTGTGATGCTCCCTTTCTTACCTCCAAGACTTAGACTCAATAGTTTGACTCAAGTACCATCACTTACAAAAGACCTATATTGACTACCCAGCTAATAGTGCTTCCTTCTCAATGAAATAACCTTATGTTTACTTTGTGTATATATTTTATGTACTTATATGTATACATGTTGTCTACTTAACAAAATCTTCACTCCTTGAGGGTAGGGATTGTTTTGTCTTTGCAATCAGTGCCTATCTAAGTGTACATACTAGATTCTTAACAAATGCTGGACTAGTTGATTTATATGCTAAAGGAATCAAAGTAAATAATCCTTTCAATAGAAAGCACAAAGCACAGTACCTGGCACACAGTAAAAGTTAATACATGCTAATTTACTGGCTACAATTAAATAATCCTATTGTGTTTCAACTCAGTTTGCTAAACTGCAACACCATTCCCTTAAGGGATGTTGGAGTTGTTCAGAGGCATATTTGTTCAATGAATAAGAAATATTGATCTTCAATTGGCTTTTCTATTGTTCTTTCCATAGCCCTACTTCTATCAGATTTTTATTGTATAGTATTTTGGATAATTACACTGAAATTTTACATGGCAGTTTTCTGTTTGCAAAGCCTTTTCTTTTTTTTTTTTTACATCTGTTGTCTCATTGGATTATCACAATCACCTGCTACTATTATTATCTCTATTTTATAGATGAAGAAACTGAGGCAGTCATAATAAGTGACTTGTCCAAGTTCACTTGACTAGTAAGAATCCGAGGCAAGATTTGAACTAAGGTCTTCTTAATTCCAAGTTTAGTTCTTTAGCCACTATATCACATGATACTGACCATTTTGTCTTTTCCCAGATATTAAAGTTCTACCTTTATGTACATGATTCCCACTTTAATTAAATTTAATAGAATAAATCCTGACTGCTCTTCTGAACTTCAGAGTCAATCCCTAGCTATCTACATGACAATATGTAGTAGTCCACTGCTACCTCAAATTCAAAATATCTCATGACCTTTGTGCCCTAGGCCCATTCCTTCTGAGCTCACAATTTCTCTGTGGCTCCATTATTCATTCTGTGACCTATGTTCATAACTTTGTGGTAATTTTTTGTACTTTTTTCCTCCATCTGTCTTAGGTAAATCCATTATTAAGTCCTATCAATTTCACCTTTGCAAAAAACTCTTTTGTAACCATTCGCTTCATTATTCCCCTGCCATCATTATAGTGCACACCCTTATTATTATGCTCCTAACCTTGCCTCCTAACCTCTCTTCTTGTTTTTACTTTCTCCCCCAGCCCTATAAACCACCCTACATCGCATTGCCAGATTGATACCCTTTGTGCATAAATTTGTTTGATCACTCTTCCACTTAAAAGTCTTCACAGCCTTCCCTTGTCTACTAGTTAGGCCCAAATTCCTTCACCTGGCATTCAGATTCCCCTACATTATTCTGGCACCTGACCTTTCCTTTTGAGGTTTTACCTCATTTTATTCCGTGCATGAGACATAGTTCTGCTCTGTTGCAATACATGTCTTTGTTCATGTTGCTCCTCATGCCTGGAATACCCACTCTCCCCTTCTTTATCTGCCCATATGTTAAAGTACTACTAAAATGCTACCTGGTCTCTGAAACCCTTCCCAAGCCTACATTCTCACCACCTCTCCTTTTTTCCCATACCTCACATAATTCTTGGGTCACACCATCCCTAAGGCACAAACATCACGTAATAGTAACTGTCATCATATTTGTGCATTTGTCTATTCTTTCTACTAGACTCCTGAAAACATTGTGATGATGTAAGACTGCATAACTGCTTTATTAATATTGATAAATATGTTTCAAAATGTAACTACTATGGATAGACAAAAAAAACTATTTTGAATCTTCAAAGAATCATCTTAAACCTATGTCATTGTCTCTAAAAATAGGTAGATAAATACATAGGACTCTTCATTGAGCTCTTACTATGTGCCAGGGACTATGCTAAGTGCTGAGAACACACAAAAAAAAAAAGCAAGCAAGAAAGTCCCTGTCCTCACAGAGCTTCCATTCTTATGGGAGAAAAGAATGCATAAAGGGGAATTTATTCCTTTAAATATATCTCAAATATAAAAGAGGAGTTGGAGGGTAGGAATGAATATTTGTGCTGTGGCATGGCTTGAAGCTATCAGAAAGTGGCATGTGTAGGGTTTGGCCCCTATAACATAAATTTAAAGCTGACCTATGGGAGCCAAGGGACTTAGGGGCAAAGGTGAGGTTTCCATTGGGGAAGATATAGCCCAAACAATGATGATATTAGTTAAGTGGAATACAGGCCTAGGTCAGGAAGATAGGCATAGGTTTAATTCTTTCTCTACCATCAATTATTAGTTCTATATTTTAATTGGACTTGTGATTTTATTGGCATAGGGCTTCTCCCAGAAGACTAATCCCTTTTCTGCTGATTAGCAGCTATCTTAGAGCGTAAACTGAGGTTGAGTGACTTGTTACAGAGAGGCAAGACTCGAACTTTGGTATTCCTGGCTGAGATTGGCTTTCTTTCCACTATGTTATACTACACTTCTGTAAAGATTTAAATCCTACGTAGACTGAACTAGCAATGTTGTTTGTTATTGGGCAGTTAGGTGGTACAGTGGATAAAGTGCCAGTCCTTGAGTCAGGAAGACCTGAGTTCAAATCTGGCCTCAGACACTTAGCTGTGTGACCCTGAGAATGCCACTTAACCCTGTTTGCCTCAGTTGTCTCATCTGTAAAATGAGCTGGAGAAGGAAATGGCAAACCACTCCAAAATCTTTGCCAAGAAAACCACAAATGGGGTCAAGAAGAGTCAGACATGACTAATCAACAAAACAACAACAATATAGGCAGAACTAGCATTAGTTCTTCCCATTTTCCTTTGTTCATTGTCACTAAGGTTTTATCTATAAGAGTAACTAATGAGTTCCAGGTAACTACTGTTTTAGACTTGTAATAAATGTAATATTGAATTATAATTGCTGAAGTCAGGAAGCAAAAATTATTGAGGTTCCTTGGCCACTTTTATTATCTACTTGATTTGACTTTGAATCTTGTGCATGATTGTTCCTGATACACTTATTAAAAGTTTCGAGTATTTCCTTTATGCTTGTTTAAAATCATTTATATCTCCATCTTATTAGCATACACCTTAAAGAACTCATTTAGTTTAAAAAATATTTCCTATCACAGTGCCTAAGACATATAATCTTTTATTCTCAGTTTTCTCCAATTTATGTGTACTAACTATATATACAGAATGTGTAGATTTGCATTAAATTGTTAAAGTCCAAATTAACCTAGTGAGGAAAAAAAAATAAGGAAACACCTCTAACTTAGCATAATGTCTGGC